CAGCTCATCCTTTCAAAGTTTTGAATCTCTACAGCACTATCTCAACTATGGTCAGCATGAAAATAAAACAAGCCAGGAATCTGTGTATGACCAGCTGCGTCGTGACTGGGTTGCAATGTTTACCACTGTTCTTCCCGAAAACCGTCCTAGAGCTGAATCAGGCGTATCATCAGTTTCCTCTTCCTCACTTAGCTACCTATGGGCTGGGCCCTTCAAAAGCCAAGAGCTGGTTGAACAAGGTACCCCTCCCAAGTGAAGGATTATTTAAAAGCAAGATTTGATGCATGCTGGATAAGAGTTGGGATGCAAAGCCGATCTTGAGAAAGTTGCCATCAACATGAAAAATGCTCGAAATAAAGACAATGGACGATTGTTTTCAAGAGAAGAGTGGCTGTAGAGAAACAAAATCCAAGCGTACTTTTCACCGCTATCTGCTTTAAAGAGGAAGCAAGGAAGTGCTTCAACGTCTCCAGAAGTAGCACGGGATGACATGGATGACGTGGTGGAAGAGGAAGAGTGGTTACAGCGAGTGGATGAGGTGTATGATAAACTATCAGTCCAGCATCCAATATACAATGATTCATACTATCTTTGTGATTTATGTCGGACACAGAAGCTCACTTCATTTAATGTTGAAATGTTGAAATCAATCTGCAGCCATTTTGAAATTTCTGTTGAGTCGAGCGATAGAAAACACCAGTTGATCAAAAAACTGGCAGTAATGATCGCTGAGTGTTCCTGTGAGAAAAGTTAAGGTTGTTGAGCCCGTTACCAAACTGACCAGCGGTTAAGAAAAAAACATGGCAGACAGGGAATTCGTGACAATGTGACAGACCTTTCTCGTTACGAGACAGCTTTATTGAAAATCTTCCAGCGTTTCTATTGCGATCTATTTGGTAAGAAACTGTTTCATCTTAGCACGCAGAGGAATGTAAAGGGCAAGAGATCTGATTTCTTGGTTTGTTACTAACATTTGTTTATGACGTGCTCAATGGAAAAATGGCCGCGTTACAGCCCATGTCACAACTTTCATGTCGCATGTGTGGAAGTAAAATTAGATTTCGGCCAAATATTTTAAGTGATATTCACAGGCAATAGATGGACCTTTGCATTGATGTATAGAAGAGCCTGTGAGTACGAGCCACTTTTGCTACTTATTCCTCTGAACTTAGCTTAGATCGCATGTTGCGATAAGAGCTCAAACGAGAGAAAATTTGTGCCGTCAGATTTATTACACTAATGAAAGCTTATGATTGCAATTATTTGTATTATTACGATAAAGGGTCGTTGTTTCTAACTAGGGAAGTTAGAGCTTTTGAATGATCCGTATTCTCAAGAACTGACAACTGCAAGTCTTGTAAATTTCTCCAGCTCACCGCTAAGTTTTGAGCACATTCCCGAATGCCAAAAGTTCCGATCAGAAAATATTATCCAATATTATTTCATATTTGTTACCTACTTACCAAGTGAAGTTTATGGAAGAATTATGAGCGAAATCTGTTTCTGGATGAAAATTGAATATGAGGATCTTAGGGAGAGTCCCTCTTAAATGACAGAATGAAAGTCTGATGGGTCTCAATCAAATAAAAAGGGGACTAAATAGCGTACTTCCCTATTGCCCGATGATTGACTTCATTCCACGTTATCCTTGTTTTTTTTTTTTTTTTTAACAAATAGAGAATCCTTGAATGTGCTTTGTTCTGTTGTAAAGCTCGCAGAAAGCGGCCAGGGCAGAAAAGAGAAGTTAGGAGACACAGGAGACGTAGTCGAGTCTTTCACCCCACTTCCTAAGTAATCCAGCTGCTTCCTAAGTGCTTTACAACAGAAAAGAGCACTGATAAGGCTTCTTTATTTTTTTTTTTATAATAAACAATTCATTAAATTCAACACTTAATACTTTCTATTCTCAAAAAAAAATTTTTTGCAAAGGAAACAGTGTCGTCAGCATGCGCTATACTCTCCTAAAACAGGTTGCAATAAGCCAATCACAATCCTTGTTAGAGTGGTTCAAGTTATCTGGTAATTGATCAGACTAAAGCTGTTTTAACAAAATGTCGCACCATCAAAGTTCAAAAACTGAAATAGTTTGGAAGGTCGAATTTGACACTTTGACCTTAACCTTTTGGTCGTAACACCGAATCTGAAAGTGAAATTAAATGTTCAGTGAAATCCAGCCGAGTTTTGGCTCATAAAATCACGTGAGTTTTGTCACATGGGTCAGAATGAATGCTGGGATTGGCCGTGCCAGTACCAGGTCGCTTTAAGGGGCAGTTGTTTCGCACTGTCGCTATCTTTAATTTGTTGTTGTTTGGTGAAAAGCATAGCCAAAAAAGCCACGAAATTTTCTTTAAATTTGTCAGTTTGCAAACCGGGTTTCTTTTTATGAGAAATCATAGTGATCATTAATCTGTATGGGAATGAGGAATGACCTTAGACATCCTGTAAGGTACAAAAATTTAAGGAAAAACCTTAATTGTGGGGGGATTGTCGAAAATGCTGCTGGAAGTGCTCAATATACCTGAGTGTAGAGCGAAATATAATTCAAACTGACTTAAATGAAACACACATGATTTCCTGTGGGAATCATGCGTGCTTTATTTTAGTCAGTTTGAATTATAAGGAAAAACCTTTAACTGTTTCCAATCCATGGGTTCGTGCAGAAGCCCGTGATAAGTTCTTACACCTTCCCTTCCATTTCGTTTTCTCCCAGCCTTTATCCTTTTTGTTGGTTGTGAATCTAAAAAGATTCACAACCATTTAAATAATATATGTTGGGAACTTTCTTTTGCTCTATAACGGGCCTAAGATATCCTGTTGGTTACGTAAATTGATAAAAATCTTTCATGTACTGACATTTCGCAGTAAAACGTTTTGTCCATGTCATCGTCAGCGCCCATGACGTTTGTAAAATGAAATCCCGTCTGTTTTTCTCGTATTTTTCAGATTTTCAATGGAAGTCAATCGATAGCTTTATCCCTATGATTTTCCCCAGAAATGAACACTTAGGTTGTCAAAATGTGGATTTGTCGGGATTACCAAGATAATCGCGTGCTGGTAGAACAAGAGAACAGAAACTCATGAGGATATGAACTGTATGATATATTCTCTTGAAAAAAAATTTGAATATAAAGTACGGAACAATAAACAAAAAAATCTCTTCATCCAAAAGGGAGCTAAAATATGACCATTCAGAAGTAAAAAACGAGCAAATTTCTTGCATTTACGAGACCTGGGCGAGCATTGTTGTCTACATAACTCACGGCCATAAAATCGCGTAGCATTGTATTGAAAATTCTGGAAGTTGAATAATTTAAAGACAAAGTCTTTGTTTGAACAATACCTATACAACATATCAACACTTAACTAATATTTATCAGTCAAAATAATAGCCAAAATGTCACAGAGCCTCAATTGAAGTCAGCAAGTTCTTTTCTTCCTTTTCCGGTTGTAGTTGTAACGTCCTTGCGCTTCTGAGAATTGCATATTTTCGTACCCCAGAGATTATTCTGGCCTTTTATTCTTAAACTTCAATCATTCGTGGAATATGTATTTTTGGTTTGAGCTCCAAAAGGTCTAACTTGATCGGGATGGAACACAAGAGGCAACAACTCTGCACGAACCCACGAACTCTGCACGAACCCACAAACTGGAACTGAAAGGTTCTACGAAGTAAATATTTTGTACCTTTCGGTATGTCCACTTCCATTTTCACATTCCCACACAGATCAGATATCTCCTGAGCCCATCATGGAAAGAAAAAAAGATATGAAAACATACAACTTTAAGAGAATTTTTCGAAGTTTTTTTAACTCGGTATCTTCTAAGACAACAATAACGTGCGAAACAACATGCCGCTTTAGCGACCTGGTACTGGCTCGGCCAGTCCCAGTATTCACTTAGGCGCAGTCTCAGCAAAGTCGCGTATCAGAAAAAAAAAAACTGCTTGAGTTGTGTTTATTATGAATCAATGACAGCCGAATTCACAGGAACATGAAAAATGCTCGTGATGACAGCGCCGTAGAACTCAGCTGCTGTGATTGATATGGCCTTCCACTCAACACATTGGAAAGGATATCACAGCAAGCTCTTAGTTCAGGTCACTCGAAGCTAAAGGGCAGAAGATATAAATTCTGAAGCTTTCTTCACTGCAACGACCGGAGATCGCCATGACGAGCTAACAGCGATGGACCTCAGCATGATCGCAGTCGCTCTGACACTATCATGATTTTTATAAATTTTAACAGTTATGCCAGTTTGGTTCTATTTTTCATCATAACTGTTTTGTTCTGTCCTATTTTTTTGAACACGAAACTATATATTATAGGAGTTTTGGCTGTGTTTGACTTATATTACCATTCTTAAGCTTACAATCTAACTGAGCGTGAAACCTTCGAAACTAGTACTGTCCATTTCGTTTTCTCTTTAAAGATTTTCTTCTTTGCTCACGGTATAATAGTGTAAATTACGGTGCTTGGCCTGTTTACAACCTGCTTTTGGTTTTCCTGTTGCTTCTTGCCGGCTCTCTTGTTCCAAAATTTCTCTTTCAAAAAACAAAAACAAAGCTAGAGGTCCAAGAAATGGTCGGACGGTACCAATTGGTAGATGGCGTGACAGCATTAACTCGGCTCCGTGTGCTCTGATAGAGCACGTTCTTTTAAGCAATGATAACGCGCATCATATCCGAGCCTTATTATAATACAAAATATGAACTAGTGATCAAAAAATACTCACACATCGCTTTCAATTGGTCATTCAGTCGGTGAGTCGGTCAATATTTTATTCTTCCCGTCATTCGCTTTGTTGCTTACTTTAACAATTTGTTCGTTAGTCAGTCATGATCAGTTGGTGCAGTTAGTAAATCAGTCGGTCGGTCAGTCAGTCAGTCAGTCAGTTTTCAGTCAGATATTCAATTATACCGTCGATTAGCCTAGCAGAGACAGACAGACATTCAACAGAGTAATGTTTTTACACACATAAGACCATGCAGGTGTCATTGATACCTAAACAGCCGTACAGCTCCATCCTGAGTACTGCGTAATTCTTCCATCTTCTAGGTATGAGTCTGATGAAACGAGCTTGAATTGACGGGTTTAACTTGTGATAAACAATACTAGTCTGGTCTGTATTTCCTCTGAATTGCTAAAAATACATTAAGACAAAAGGCTTAATAATAAATACCAAATGAATCAATAATTTCAAAGCAGAGAAGTGAACTGACGCAATCATTTAAAAAACTGATTAAACTTACTATGACAACGAACTTAAGTACGGTCATTTGTCCGCAGATGTGATTTTCAAAAAAAAGGAAGTAAGAATAAAAATAACAGAAAATTTATTGGTCCTCCTGCTTATGGCCTATTCAACAAAGAAACTTTGGTCACAATATTACAGGTAAGACCGAAAAAAATACCCAGTCGTGATTGCCGTGTCAACTGCCCGCTTGCGAGTTTTTGCAAGTTGCATGCTAAAAAAACCGGTTCCGATATTAGCCACCAAAACGAGGCCCCGTGTTCCCATAATATCGTCCCTTCATGGTACGAAACATATAATAAAACGTTTTCACTGGTCTTTTGTATTCGAGATAAACAAATAGTATAAAATGGATTATTGTTCAGTCGCTTGTTGTAATAATGAGAATATAATAATAATAATAATAATGATTATTATTATTATTATTATTATTGTTATAACAATTATGACAATCTTTATACAGGGGGCTCACATCACTGGGGAGTGGTATTCTGTGAGGCCCTGTACTAAAAATAAATAAAATAAAATTATAGGAATAGAAAACAAATTACAAACATATAAAAATGAGCAATACACAGGGTGTGTGAACATGGTAGAATCAGATCTCAACACTAACTCAACTAAATACATGATTTTTCACTCTATGCTTAAAATTGAGAAAGAAGTCAATTTCTTTGATAGAGGTGTCTAAGAGATTCCATTCTCCTGCGCATATATATAAAAGTCTCTGTTATCCATAGTTCGTTTTTACACGAGGGAGGCGGAAATCGTTCTTTCTTCTTGTATTATATCTGTGGAAGTCAGAATTCCTGAAAATATTAAAACTATATTCTACAAGGCCGTGAATGTTCTTAAAGGTGGCAATGTATCTGTACAAGACGCCGTTCGAGCAGTGTTGGCTAGTTTAGAGAATTTAGAGCGTCGGTGGATGAGGCGTCATTCGGCAAATCAAGGATAACTTTTGCAGCTTTATTTTGTAGTATTTGCAAATCTTCCATGATAGTGGCGTGATTCTTGTCTCCCCAAATGATGTCAGCATAGTCAAAAAGTGGGCTTATTAAGGAATTGTATAATGTAATTCGCGTTTCTAATTGTAACGGATGCTTGACTCGTTTTAGTTAACCGATTCTTTAATTGTTTTACTTTGGTGATTAATGATTCGATGTGCTCGTGCCATGTCATGTTCTTGTGGATGAGTACACCGAGATATTTGATTGAATCCGTATTTTCAAGTTCTTTGTTATCTATTTCAAGTTTGATACCTCGGCAGGTTTGCAATCTGCGATGGCTACCAAACAATAAAAAATTTCGATTTTTTTAGTGTTAAGTGTCAGATAGTTATTTCACACCATTGAGCTAAATTGGCAAGGTCGGCATTAAGATGGTATTGAGTATCTTGGCAGCATTTTCCACTTGAGTATATCACAGTGTCGTCTGCATACATAATTACTTGACAGTGTTCTAAGCAGTTCCAAAGATCGTTAATGTAAAGATAAGGGATAGTAGAGGGCCGAGCCGGAATGCTACCTTGAAGTACTCCAACATGAACTTCACAAGGAGGGGACTGGTAGCCTTCAACAGATGTTACTTGGTACCGATTATTGAGGTATGAGACAAATCCCTTCACGACTTGAGAACCAGCACGAATAGCCTTGAGTTTTTAACAAGAAGCATATGGTCTATGGTATCGAACGCCTTGGAGAGGTCTAGGAAAACTGCTTCCGTTAAACAGCCGTTATCAAGACTCTGAAGTATATTGTCAGTGAAATGGGCAAGGGCAATTACAGTTGAAAGCTTGGAACCGAAACCAAACTTATTTAGAGTAAGTAAATTGGAGTTTGATAGAAAAGTGTAAAGTTGCTGGTGCACGGCTCGTTCAAGAATCTTGGTGATGGTTGGGAGAACAGTTATAGGTCTGTAGTTGTTGCAGTCCGGTCTGTAGTTGTTGCAGTCCGTTCTTTCACCTGTCTTAAATAAAGCACATACTTTGCCAAGTTTCCAGATCGATGGGAAGGTGCTTGTCTCACTTGACCGGTTAAATAATTTGGTCAGCATGGGTCCCAGACACTGAGCTGAATCCTTTAATAATCTTGCACTGATACGATCTAATCCTATGACTTTGTTAGTTCGTAAAGCTTTCAGTTGCTTGAGAACAAATGATTCAGTGATAGTAGAGAAGGTGAACAAGTTCTCTTTTCGAGTAAGAGGGTGAGAAAAACTTTATACTGTTGATAAAGAATAATAAGATACTGAGTCATAAGGATACTGAATCAAAAGATACTGAGAATCATAGGATTTATCATGCTACGTGTTTCTCATGGATAAGCGGTTGGGAGTTTGGTTGGAATTTTCAAGTGCTGTCGAAAGTAAAAACAGTTCTTCGAATCATTGAAAGCTAAAGTTGGCAAACGAAACAACTTACGGATGTGTAGCCCACTTTTACAACAGATTCAAGCAAGAAAACTTGAAATCGTGGAAGAAGGGAAACCAAGGAGTCTGCTATTTCATCGATTTTTCGGGTAAACGAGCAAGAACATCACGATATATAAAAACTCCTTGAAGACGTCCATGACAGTTGGACGAAAAGCGTCAAGAATAAAGAAGTTTCACAACTACTGTTCGCAGAGTGATGCTCTCTAGCTTAGTCTCAAAAAATTGTTGAAGAAAGCAAGTGAGCTTACTAAGGATCATAAAATCTCTTCGGTTGCAAACGGAAAATTTGCGAATATACGCTCAGGTATGGTCCATAATGCCAGTGGATCTGGCTATGGCAAATGGCCTTCGATTCACTAGGGATCAGTTTCTCTCCCATAGCCTTTCCGAAGACTTCCAATATTTTTACCAGCTTTGATTGCTTCATTACCTTTGCTTTGTTGCACAAAACCACGAGTTCTGCTTTCCTTTTAACTCTACTACTACCGATAACTTAGTTGAATTATATCGAGAATTATATTATATTGCATAATTCTTTAGATCGTTCACCCGGCTTCATTTTCAAAAACTCCTCGCTTTCACTTTCTTGGATAGCATCCTTATTGTAAAGTACGGAAACTTGTGTGAGCTTTTTCCGCCGCCATTTTATCACAAATGGATTTAAGTGATGTTTATACGAGGGAAGCGTACGTTTTAAGTGATTAACCATGACATATGTAATAACACCTACCGATTAACCTGTTAAAAAGACGGTACTGAACTTTTGCGCTCACAACTCGCGCGCGTGTGCTTTGAGATTATGTAATTTAAAATGTCGTCAACAAATCACGCAGACCTTTTTTTTGACGCGTGCAAGTTTCTTTAAGGGTGACTTGAAAGTTTCGAGTTTTTCGAGTGGCTATTTGTTTGACGGTCGTTGGTATTTACCGTATTTACCGTGAGTTTGCCGTTTACCGTTTACCGTGTTACGAATAAACGTGTTTCTTTGATTTTCGTTTCGACTCCGAACATAACCTCTAACCCTGTTTATTGTGAAATTCCCATCGCGCAAAGACATCGTCTAAAAACATTACATAAATAAACAAGAATTAACTCCACAGTCTTATAAGCTGTATTTAGGATTGCACAGCCTGTTTTTATACTTGTTAACGTTTTGGATAAACAAATTAATGCGGCTGAAAATATACGAAGAGATCGGTAGGTCGAATTCCAGTTCGCTTCGAAAAAATCTAAAGCTTTTTGAGCTGCCACTCTGTTAAGTGTGCGCTCTTTAATAATGAAGCTTAATGAGAAATCGTCATTATCGCAGACATGTGCCAGGGAGCGAGACCAGAAGAGTCATATTACATCTCATGATTGACTAAATGATATGTAATTAATACGACTACGCGACATCTCTCTTCCTACAAAAGAAAAAAAAAACCTTGAACATGAAAACGATACATAATTCTGGAAGATATGTAATTGCCATAACAGTAACAAATAAAGTAAGTGTCTCAACAAAAAGTGTCTTCGAAATGTCAGGAATGTGCGGAATGCCATTATGGCTGGCTAGTACCTAATAAAGTCTTTCAAGTAAGCAGGCCCCCGTCTGGCTCTTACTGGCCTTGGTGGAATATCCTTGATCCTTTACTTAGCATTTACTTCAGGCTTTGGTCAGTTTCTGCTTCGTTTTCAGTGTCTTGTGCTGGTGAAGCCTCTTCCAATGAGTTAAGGACAGCTCGAACATCTACTCTGTTTCGCCTGTAGGTGGCTTTATCTGTCTCAACCTGCTATGATCTCTCATCCAGGTTTTATTCACCAAAGCCTTCCTCCATGACTTTTTCCAAGTATCATTGGTCTCATTTGGACTTTTTCTCCTTCGTCAAGGGGTTGCAGATCCCTTGCACCGCGGTTGTGATGATATGCTCGTCTGAAATGCATAAAATTCTGTTTGAATCGACGTGGTTCAGCTTGCGGAGCTCTGCCGTCGTTGGTTATCATCTACCGTTGCATGTACGATCTACTATCGTTTCTGCTCAGATATGGGGAGGAACATGACAGCACTGATGTCGTGTAACTCGCCCTGTGTGTCGCCGCTTTCAGGAAAGTATGCTCGGCTAAGCGTGTCAGGTACATTTGAGGAGCGGGTTTGTAGACAAACGTCATGTCGAGTTTCTGAAAACAATCCCAATGTCCTCACGGACTGTTAATAGGCCATCCACGCGAACAGGCTTGGTTCAGCCATTTCTGGAAAATCTCCGATAAAACACGGATGTCAAAAGTAAGTCGTTTCCAAAAGTGTCGATCAAAAGGTGTGAGGTGTGTCAAAAGAGGTACGTTTGTAGGACTAGTAGTCTAGAGCCACGTGCCAGTAGCCATTTAGAGCGTCAACCTTAGTGAATATACAAGCTTTTACCAGACGGGGGAAGATAGAATAAATTTATAACAAATTTATTTAAGTTTCAAATGTATTT